GCAACAACTCTCAAAGATGGCATTTCTTTATGGCTCAGGGAAACTGACTCATGTTGGTTTAATGTTCACAACTAAGTTACTAGCTTTCTGGTCTAATATTTGGTCTTTTATGTTATGGTTTGGATCTGGTCTGTAACGCAGCAAAGTTTAGAGATGGGGCTTTGGGGAAATGATTGGATCAAGAGGGTCTGAAACTGTCGAAGAATTATTAGTTCATTGATAGCTGAATGGATGGCCTAGAGGAGGTGGAAACTGTAGGCAAGTGGGGCACAGTTGGAGGAAATGGCTTACTGGAGGTGTGCCCTTTGAGACTGGATCTTGTCCCAGGTGTACCTGCCTCCCCTCTATCCCCCACCTCTCTCTCATGCACACTTTCCTGATCACTATGAGCCTAGAAGTTTTTCTCTACCACACCCTTCATTTTTTTGATGTTCTGCTTCCTCTCAGAATCAAAGCAACGGAGCTGGCCAACCACAGACTAAAAACATGAGCCAAAACCAATATGTCTTCTTTTAATTTGCTCATGTCAGGTATATTGGTCCCAGCAAGGGAAAGCTACCATTTTGTGCATGCTTCAGAGGCAGTGATAATTTTCTAACACTCATGTGCAAGTATAGCATTTAATGAGCTGCAGGTCTGAAAACCTATATCCATGGGGGACTTCACACCTATCCTGATGCAAGTGTTCAGAGAAAAGGGGACTTGGGAAATTCTTGGGTCTTCTACTTTGGCACAGGGAAGACTGCTATCTGTCAACAGCCCATGAAGATAAAGGTGTCTTTTCGTAGAATAGGTATGATTTAATTCCATTGTCCCTCCAAAGTTAATGGCAACAATTTCACATGCCACTCCATTATAGGTAAGAACCATTAACAGTTTTGACCATTTTGACCATCCAAGCATATGTCTTTATTCATCTTTGGAACAACAATTTAAACTGTTTTGATTTTTTTTTCCATTTTAAAAATCAAAAAAAAAAACAAACACTCACAAGACCTGAGTGATTCATCCAAGGCCCTAGAGCTAGGAGGTAGAAAGATCTGGATTTAGGAGTGTCTAAGCCAAAGTTTATGCTTTTGGGACAATAACTACTCTCAGAAGCTGGATGTGTCTTTGGAAATGTCCTGCACATAATCCTTCAGTAACTATTTATTAAGCAACCATGAGTGCCAAGAACTGCATTGGGTACCACAAGCGTGAGAGTGAACACAGCCAGAGCTCAACTTTCATGGGAGAGTCAGAGATGGCAAGAGAACATACCAGGAGTACAGCAAGAGAGGGAGGGGATAAGACCCAGCTAAGGCTGGGGAGTCCAGACTTTCAGCATTTTGTGGAGGTAGCATTCGTATCAAGACTTGAGGAACAAAGGTAGGACATAGTAACCCTGCCACAAAGGACATAATGGCTCTGCAAGTTTTGGTATAGGGAACAGCTCATACCCATCATGTGTGTGTATTAGGCTGCTTTTTGTTTGACTCTGTGTGCCACAACTTGCTCTATCAAAAAAGGCATAATGGAGGCAGTGGGAATGAATGCTCAACTTTGATGATCCTTGGAGTAGAGAGCATCACCCACAAAAGCCAGGAATGTTCAGAAAATATGACTCATTAGTAGAAAGCCTAGGTTCAAGTGCAGCTCCACCACTTAGAACAGTATGATTTGGGGTTAAGAAAAATTAGCCTCTTTGAGCCTCAATTTCTGCAACCTTAAAAAGAGGAAAAATTAGCAGCTACAAGTTTTGAGGGAATAAAATATATATCTAAGTATAAAAGTGTATTATAATATTATATATACTTTTATGTTTTATAGTCTTCTATAACTAGAGTATTCTACACAAAGGTGTGATGGCTGCTTTCTACAAAATGTGTGACTACAATGGGTTTCCCCCATTCATGAGGGATGTTTCAAGGTCCCCAGTGGATGCCCAGCTCCAGGGATTATATGGAATCCTATATGCACTGTTGTTTTTTTTTTTTTTTTTCCCAATACATACCTACATGCTTATGATACAGGTCAACTTATAAATGTTACAATAAAACATTAACAGCAATGATAAAAAATAGAACAGTTATAACTACATACTACAATATGTTATGCGTTCTATTTTTCTCCCTGTCAAAATATTCTATTTTTCTATATTCTCTTTGGGTCACAGCTGATTATGTGTAACTGTAACCTGGGAAAGCAAATCCACAGACAAGGGGGCCTGTCGTACACTCCTTGATCACACAAAGGGCTGCCTCGTCTCCTCAGTCACAAACCTAGTGATGTGCCTGTAAGCCCCTAAATCCATATAAAACACAAATGATGTTCAACTTTTAACATCCTGAAAATTGAACTGTTTTAATTCTCAGAATTATTTAAAATTTCTGATACTGGTTTAGCCTCTCAGTGTTAATTACTAATCAAAAACCTTATTAGTAAAATCAATACCCATAAATCAAATGCATTTCTATACATCAGTGATGAATCCTCTGAAAGAGAAATTAGGAAAACTACCCCATTCACAATATCCTTAATAAATAAATAAAATACATGGGAATTAACAAAGAGGTGAAAGACCTCTACAATGAAAACTACAGAACATTAAAGAAAGAAATTAAAGAAGACCCTAGAAGATGGAAAGGTCTCCCAAGCTCTTGAATAGGAAAAATTAATATTGTCAAAATGGCCATACTACCCAAAGCGCTATAAAGATTCAATGCAATTTCAATTAAAATCCCATCATCATTCCTTGTAGAAATAGAAAAGGCAATCATGAAATTCATTTGGAAAAATAAGAGACTCAGAATAGCCAGAGCAATCCTTAGCAAGAAGAATGAAGCAGGAGGCATCACAATACCAGAACTTACTCTATACTACAAAGCTATAGTAACAAAAATAACATGGTATTGGCACCAAAATAGACATGTAGACCAATGGTACAGAATAGGGGACACAGAGACAAACCCACATAAATACAGTTATCTCATACTAGACAAAGGCATCAAAAACACACTGAAGAAAAGATAGCCTCTTCAACAAATGTGCTGGGAAAACTGAAGTCATATGCAACAAAATGAAACTAAACCCCTATCTCTCACCATGCACAAAACTCAACTCAAAGTTCACCAAGGACCTAGGAATTAGTCCAGAGACCTTGTGCATAATAGAGAAAAAAGTAGGCCCAAAAGTTTATCACGTTGGATTAGGCACTGACTTCCTTAACAAGACTCCTAAAACACAAGAAATAAAATCAAGAATTAATAAATTGGATGGATTCAAACTACAAAGCTTCTTCTCTGCAAAAGAAACAATCAATGAGGTGAAGAAAGAGCCTCCATTTGGGAGTAAATTTTTGCCACACACACACATCAGATAGAGCACTAATCTCCAGGACATAGGAAAAACTCAAAAAACTTAACACCAAAAAAAAACAAACAACCCAATCAATAAGTAGGCCAAGGAACTGAACAGACACTTCTCTGAAGAAAATATACATTTGATCAACAGATATATTAAAAAAATGTTCAACATCTCTAATAATTACAGAAATGCAAATCAAAACTACTCTAAGCTTTCATCTCACTCCATTCAGAATGACAGTTATCAAGAATACAAACAACAATAAGTGTTGGCAAGGATGTGGGGGAAATGGCACATTTATACATTGCTGGTGGGACTTCAAATTAGTGCAACCACTCTGGAAAGCAGTATGGAGATTCCTTAGAAAACTTGGAATGGAACCACAATTTGATCTAGCTATCTCATTCCTTGGTCTATATCCAAAGGACTTAAAATCAGCATACTATCATAACACAGCCACATCAATGTTTATGGTAGCTCAATTCATGATAGCTAAACTGTGGAAGCAACCTAGATGTCCCTCAATATATGAATGGATAAAGAAACTGTGGTATATATACACAATGGAATAGTACTCAGCATTAAAAGAGAATAAAATTATGGCATTTGCAGGTAAATGAATAGAGTTGGAGAATATCATGCTAAGCGAAATAAGCTAATATCAAAAAAAAAAAAAACAAAGGCTGAATGTTCTCTCTGATAAGTGGATGCTGATCCATAACAGAGGTTGGGGGGAAACATGGAAAAATGGAAGAACTTTTGGTAAAGGGGAGGGTGGGGAGGGATTGGGGACATGAGGGCAGGAAAGATGGTGGAATGAGATGGACACCATTACCCTAGGTATATATGACTGTAATATAGTGAGACACTATATGGTGTACAACCAGAGAAATGAAAAATTGTGCTGCAATTGTGTACAATGAATCAAAATTCAATCTGCTGTTATATATACCTAATTATAATTAATAAATAAATATTTTTTTTAAAAAAACAAACCTTATCAGGCACTACTACACTACTATTATTCCTGAATCTGATAAAGTAGAGCAACTGGTCCAAAATTCTGTTGAGGTTAATTTTTATTCTAGTTTGTAGTACTTCTTTTTTTCTTTAATCTGCAGCACTTTCTAGAGTTGATAGAAATGTCAAATGCAAGCTCAAATTTGGCTCACACACAGACCCAACTTCAAGGACCACACACAAAGCTTATTTTTGTTTGGACTGCACAACACACCAACTTCCTCCTGGAGGAAATCCCACTATCTGACTCTTGTTGGCTGGATGCTATAAAGAAATCACATCCAATGGTTGGTCCCAACCCCAGCACAGAGGAAGGGATGCTTGCAGGTGGGGAGCTGGCCAGGACTCTTCAGTATTTGCATACTAGATTCTCCTGCATTGATCCATTTGCCCAGTTTAAGGCCACAGCTCCTAGACAGAAATCCACAGTATGGAAGCAGGAACTTCCATGTTATGAATTATAATCAGCCAACCATTCCCTATTGAAGATAGTGAATAAATATTTAATGATCTTTGATTAAAGATACAAAAGTTCTCAAACACAGGAATACTATATCCCCACAATAACAGTCACCTGTCAGATGACTGCATTCAGTTATAGGCTTCCACTGTGCTTGACACCAATAAAAATGCACCATGTTCTCCATCCCCTCCCTCTGCCCAAGTCTCTTCATTGCATGGAGACTGGCCACAAAAGCTTCTGCATATCTTAGTACCTCCTCCAATGTGGTGTCTGAGATTCCATATCCCATCAAGTGCAATTGCTCTAAGTTCTGATCCAGGGTCTGGAAGAGCTCCCTGAGGCAGGCCTTGTCTGTGTCCTTTGGGATGGCAAAGGTCAGCTCACTCTCACTGCTGTCTTTGAGAAATGCTTTTGGTACATAGAGCTGTATCAGGGATGTAACACAAGCTATGTCCTCGAGATCATGGACCTCAGAAACAGAGGGCTATCAAAAAGAAAACAGAGTGATAAATCGGTAAGAAATGTCAATCCAAACACATACCAGTCAATTACCTGTAAACTCATAAGCAAATTAAATACATTCCAATTCAAAACTTGAATGGGATACTGTATTTAAGTGGTAGGCATTCAATAATACAGTATAATTTTCTTTGTTTCTTCTTTGTTAAAAATATAAATCAATAGGCTGGGGGCTGTGGCTCAGTGGTAGAGTGCTTGCCTGATATGTGCAAGGTCCAGGGTTCAATCAATCCCCATTACCACAAGTAGTAGCAGTAGTAGTTGTAGCAGTAATAATAATAATATAAATCCTCAGTGATAAACCTGGCAAGGTCAGACCCACATGCCCAACTTGCTTACATGCACTGCAGCCTATTTATAGGGGTCTGTGTTCATGAGACACCCTCCATCCCATGGAACAATCACAAAGGAGACTCAAGTTCTAGCAATTGGATTGCAAGAAACAAGGTTGAGTCTTCTTAAAAGGGAGACAAGGATTCCCAACTGAAGAAGAAAACAAGCCATCTCAAGGATGACAAGATACTCTAAGCTAGAGAGGAGGCAAATAGGAACCACAGGACAGAGGTCAAGGGCAGACTTCCTTCAGGTCACCAAGGATCAGACATAGTCATTGAGAACTGACAGTGACTTACCACACCTCCTGGATCAACTCCAGGACCACCAAGGCCTGCCCTGTTGATATTAGACAATGATGCTTCTGCATATCTCGAGTCCCACCACACTTGCTATAGCTCCTTACTACTCTGCTTCTGACTTGAGGCAAAATTTAGACTCCCTGTCAGAAAAAATGTTTCTAGAATACTCGGCAGCAGCTCCTAGTACCTGTCAGGTAATTCTGAGCCTTTGTGCATTTTCTTCTAGCAGATAAAATGCACCTTTGGGTTCACAGAGCCTAGCTCAGCCCTGGAGGGACATATTTCGCAACTGACTATTATGCACAAAAGGCCTCCATTTAGGTATTATTGTCAAGTGACTGTCACAATTTGTTCCTTATGCCACAGACAGGAAGGGAACTTCTCCAATGACACCAAAAGAGCAGTACTCCTTACTTGCTTTGTGAGAGTCAGGTTGAGTCCCTGGCCATAGGCCTCTGTCAATCAGAAAGGAGGACCGCAGCACTTGAGCTGCCCCTGCTGCAGGACAGCCACATAGTCATTGAGCATCTCAGCTTCATCCAGGTGGTGGGTTGTGAAGATGATCGTGCGACCTAGGTCCAAGCACAGGCACATCAGAATCAATGTGACAAAGGCTCTGAGGAAGACCATCTATTCTTCCTCAGAGAATGGCAGGTCCTTGACACAATTTTAAAAAGGCAGCCACCAATTTTAAGCAGAAAAAAATGAAATGGATACTGTGGAAAAGACCTAGCCAAGGGCACTTTACAAACTAAAAACTCTTTAACTATTTATTCTACAGTTTCCCCAAAGGTCATGACTGCTGTTTTTATAAATCCTCCAACTCCTTCTGGATGCAGTTGGGGGAGCCACTCTGCCATGTCCTAATGGTGAAACTGAGGTGCAAAACACAAAGTCCCTTTGCCAAAACCTCATTCCTTAAGACTTAGAGGCAGACAGCCACATGAATGTAAAGAAGACACAGAAATGTTTAAAAAGCTGGGTGAGCATCTTTCTCTTCTCTGATCTGATCTTCTATGGGCTATAGCCTACGGAAGGGCTACTGTGTAAGAAAACCACAAGCTCTAGGTTAAACCATAGAGTAATCTTTAAAAATGACTATGTCTAAATTGTCCTGGCATATATGGGTACCTTTAAGGATCAGGGATGACAGAACCATGTGAATTCATTCATCTGGGCCTTCTCAGAAGGTGAAACCATCCTGACTGACCAGACAGGGACACTGTTTCAATGCTTGGCTCACATGTATCCTCCATGAGTTCTAGCATCTTGTAAAATTTTACTACCTTTCCTTGGGAGAAAAAGGCACCATATTTCCTTAGAAGAGCAGAGACCAGGGAAGCTAAAGGTAAAGTTTATTTCAGTAACATAAAGAGAAGCTGTTCTGGCTTTTAGTTTCTACTTCCCTCATTGGCTTATATTGAGCCCCATCGAACTGTTCTATCAAGTAGAACAAATGTATTGATTGATTCTGATTTCAAAAGCAAACTCTCAAAGAGATAAGGCTGAAGATGTTTTTAACCCTATTTGATTTTATATTTTTCAATAGAGAGGAAGGATTAAAAGACTATGCCTCTAATTCATTTTATAAAATCTATCTTTAAAGAAAACACGAAATATAGACCCAAGAACAGCAGGGAGGAGGGCCTACAGGGACTAGCTCTTGCTATAGATGTGTTCTAAAGACCAGGAACCATTTCTTTGCCCCTTAGTCGTTTGATGCTAAGAAAATGTGCTCGACTCCTGGCCTGGGATCAGAGGCAGGTTAGTTTCTTTGATTATAGGTCTCACGCAGTTCAGATATGTTCCCATACAATGAGGTAGTCTAAAAATAGAAGTCCACTGGAATCTAAATTTCCAAATGAGAAAGAGAAAGTAGAATGGTGGTTGCTAGGGGCTGCAGAAATGGAAAGAGGAACAGGAAGATTTTGGCTAAAGGTATAAAGTTTCAATTATGCAAGATGAATGAATTCTGGAGATCTATTGCACAGCATGATGACTATGGTTAATAATAATGCATTGTATACATGAAATTAGAACTTAAATGTTCTCAACACACACACACACACAAACAAAGTTTATGAGGCAATAGACCTGTTAATTAGCTTGGCATAATTACTTCATGATATATGCATTTATGAAAACATTATGCTATATACAACAAAAGCACACAATCTGCATTGTCATATATACCTAAGTAAAGCTGGGATTATAAATAAATAACAGATAAATTTTCAATGAACTTAAAACAGTCACAGATGTTTGAGCCATGATGGTTCCTTACTGCTGTTAGGGCAACTTGAGAAAAATCCTAAATCTCAAAGGACAATATTAATACTCTGTTTTCCCCAAGAGACTCTTTCATTGTTTCTCTCCCTAATTCAGATGACATACTCTATCTCTTTTCCTCCAAAACCTGTAATTCCCACATTTACCTTCTCTCATCTGTTTTAATAATAACAATGACAGCCTGTCATGGATCAAGTACCCACATAGTAAGTACTGAGTTATGCACTTTTACATATTGCACATTTACTTCTTGTAAAATCCTCTGTGATGATATAATTGTCTCAATTTGAAAATTAGATAACTGAAGCTCAGAGGAATCTGACCATTTTTCCAGGATCATACAGCAAATAAGAGCCAAGCTTCAAATCCAGTACAAGGATTTAGTTGTGATATGCCAACTTGTTCTGATATCTTTTGCTTCTTAATGGATCTTTGCATGAGAAGCACAGAAGTAATGGCACCAGGGCTGATCAAGAGCTCACATTGTTCCTGACTAAGTAGGAAATACACGCATGAAATTCCCAATAGATTGAGCTCCCAGAGTACTGGTGTTCTGATGGAAGAATCTCTTCCTACTCAGCAGGTACCATTCATTTTTGTGCAGTGTTGGATCAATCTCACAGATCTCTTATCAGTTACCTGAAGGTTTGGGGCTGTTTCTAGAAATGGTTATACATTTTGATTTTTGAAAATGCATTTTTTCTATCAGTAACTGCCTAACTAATCAGCCTAACTAACTAATCTTAGACCCTATTGGTTTTGCACTTCAATCAATACAAGGACAATTCCAAAGAAGTCTTCCAAAGACAAAAAAAAAGTGAGAAAATAATATCTAATTTATAACAAAACAATTTGAAGAAATCTGTCTTTTAGACTTACACTGTATCTGGTTTTCTGTCTAAAGTAAACTTTCTGTTCACTACTAAAATGTTCTGTCAGCTAAACCTTTAAGCATCCATCTCTGATTTTTAAAATAAACAAGAGTAGTGGGCTTTTGGTATTTCATTTGCACAACAAGTCACAGTGCAGAGGGAGTGTAATCTTCTTGTCTATCTCTCATCCTTCTTATGTATCAGTCCACACTTACAGAGGCAGGGAAAATGTTATTAGTCCAATCTAAATTAGAGTCATCTCAAAATGTAATCAGTTTCTTTAAGTGACATTCTTAGACTTGCACAAAAAGTTCACATTTCCTCATTTCTGCCCTTTACATTTATCCCCAAAGCCCATTTAGGCAAATGGAACAAGAAGCCTTTGCAAAGGATTGGGATCTTTGCATGCAATGTGGTCAACCTCCTCTGGTTTCCGGGAGACCACCTGTTGCTGTCCCCCTCCCTGTCTTAGTGTCTGTGGGTTGGGCAGCAACCCAAAAGGGTCGGGTCTCAAAGTACAGAGTACTCCCAGGCTCTTTCCACCTTGACTAGATCCTACGGACCTACATCCCTAAATCTAAACCAGGCTTCCAGCCAGCCAGCTTCAAGTCTACCCCCTACACCACTCTTCCATGGCAACATCTTTAGCAAGCTCTCCTCAGTATGGAAGCCCATGGGCCTGAGAATACCCCCCTGGGTCCCAGCATTCCACTCAGTCTCATGAACTTTGATGTGGCTGCACCCAGACTGAGGAGCCACGTGGAGCACACTTTTTCATGAATTGCCCAGCCCAAGCCCAAGCCCAAGCCTAGAATAGGGGGCAAAAAAAAAGCCATATTTGTTTGCTTGTTATGCCTGATCCCTTCTCTGTCCTCTCTTTCTAAATTTCCCCTAAAATTGTGGGACAGGAACAGGATAATTCCTTTATGCCCCATTTGAATTACCCTTCTCCCTTCTCATCTCACCCTATGGCAGGCCTTAAGTGATAGACTGGAGCCTCTATTCTAAGAGAGAATTCAATATTCTGAGCCTCTTTGGTTCTGGATGGTTAAAAAAATAAGAAAAAAGAAAGGACCTTTCTTATCATTGCTTTTGTTTTCCTTTAGTAACCAATCCCCCAGGATTCAGGCCAAGACTGAGGAAGACATTATGCTCAAAAAAACAAAAGCAAAAATTTAAAAAGACAGTGTGTAAGATCATGTACTAATCTTGCTTCTGAAGCTTCTAAACTTATTCACCAGCACCAAGATATGTTTCACTATTACCCATGTTTCTTTCCAAACAAGAATGTTTCTATACAAAATACTGTAGCAATACTTCCTAGATGTCAGGGCTACACAAAGAACCAGAGGTTGGACATTAGTAACTATCCATCCAATGCCCTCCACTGAAAATAAGAAATAATAGAGATGAGAAACATGGACCCTCTAAGTCAGTAACATGAGTTTCCCCTTTCATGCAGTGAATTTTCTCTCCATTTGTGAGCCCATCACATGCCCAACTCTCCATAACTCAGTTTCCTCATCTGAGAAAAGAAGGTGTGGGGCTGGGGTTGTGGCTCAGTGGTAGAGCACTTGCCTGGCATGTGTGAGGCACTGGGTTCAATTCTCAGCACTACATATAAACAAATAAATAAATGAAGGTCTGTGAATAACTAATAACATTTTTTTAAAAAAAGAAAGAAAAGCAAGTGCTAAGGTTTGGATCTTAAATGTCCCCCAAAGGCCCATGTGTTAAAGTCTTGGGCCCCAGTCTGTGTCATTATTGGGAGGTGGTAAAACCTTTGGGAGATGGCACCTGGTGGAAGGAAGTTGGGAACATTCTCCTGAAGGGGACGTCAGGGCCCTGGTCCCTTCCTGTCTCCCTCATTGCTTTTTAGCCACAAGGTAAACATCTTTCTTCACCACATGCTCCCACCATGAGGAACTGTACTACAATAGGCCCAAAGCAACAGAGCCAACCAATCATGGACTGAAACCTCTGAAACCATAAGGCCAGATAGATCTTTGCCCCTTGTGTAGATCATCTCAGATATTTTCCACAGCCTCAGAAGACCCACACAGGACCGTTGATCCTAGATGATCTTTAATGTCTTCTCTAATCACCTGTGCATCCACAGTGAAGCACAATATGGATAAAGACAATTTCAACTGAAATCATGTATGATAATGCTCAATGCAAGTTGCATTGCTAATACTGAGAGGACAAATTACAAAGTAAGCATTCTGAGTACTACAGAGCTATGATCAAACATATCTTAAAATCATCTGAAGATTTTATTTGTTCCAGAAAGAATAAGACATCCTTATTGTGGCTGGGCATGGTGGTGCACACCTGTAATCTCAGCAGCTCCAGAGGCTGAGGCAATAGGATTTCAACTTCAAAGCCAGCCTCAGCAACTTAGCAAGGCCCTAAGTAACTCAGCGAGACCCTGTCTCTAAATAAAACATTTAAAAAGGGCTGGGGATGTGGCTCAGTGATTCAGTACTCCTGGGTTCAATCCTCAGTACCTCCCCCCCAAAAAAGATATATTGTTATTGTGCAGTGACTTGATTCTCACATATAATAGCTATTCTTTCTCTGTGCCACAACATTGTGGGGAGACAAAGTGTAACAAGGCCCAAGTCTTACCTTCCTGATACTTGAGCAGAATGTCCCAGAGGCTGCGCCGGGAGCAAGGGTCCACCCCACTTGTAGGTTCATCCAGAACCACTGTCCTTGATGTGCCCATGAAAGCAATGCCAATCGAGAGCTTCCTCTTCAGGCCTCCAGAGAGAGTTTGAGTTTGTTTGTGCTGATGCTGAATTAGCCCCACATCCTTGAGAGTTCTGAAACAAGAAGAACAGCTTCACTCTTCTCTCCAACACTTGAAAGTTTGCTCTGAATTCCACTCCACCTACAAGGACTATGGTGACTGAGGTATTTATAAACCACAGGTACATCAAAAAGGCTTGGATGATACATGTGCATAGGAGTCTTTACAGAGTAGCATTGCCCTTCCACATGGGTGGATGACACCACACCCCTTTGTTAGTGTGATGCTGGTCAACAGTGTCTGCCAAGTAAGGTGACTATAAAATACTTTGTCTCCTCCCCAGAGAAGCCTCTCCATTTCATTCAGACATCCTGCCAAGGGCAGACCAACATCTCCTCAATATGGTCGAATGGCTGAAGCACCAGTGTAGTCAGAAGAAGAAAAAGCTCCAGGGCTCTCTTGGCAAGGCCTTTAACTCTCTGGACCACTAGATACTCGAATTGTATCTCCCTAACTTCCTAAATAATTAGGAAGTCCCAAGGACATGCCACTTACAAAATATAAATCCTCAATTTCCATTAATATAAAAATAAGCCTCTTATTCTCTCAGGGATTTTTCATTCTTGAGAGTTCCAGAAAATTTCAGATACCTATCCCAAAGACTTCCCTGTGTGAAGCTTTACCCTCCATGTCTATGGCTCCACCATCTTTTCTCACAAATAACTGCCACTCCTTACCATCATTATACTCTGTTAAGTCCACAGGAAGAGACCTACTCCTACCTCATCACCTGATTGAAGTCTCACTCCTTGTTCAAGACCCTGTTTAAATCATGCCTCCCTGAAACATTCCCCTGAACATTCAAACCAAGTGGGTTTGATGCCCTAAGCTTCAGGACTTCTTATCACTTCCTGATAGCCAACAACTGAAGGGCCTCTCTGAACTCAGGGAGACTGTCAGACAACACAGGTGCTGTAGAATCACAGAGGTTCCACATAATCTTGAGATTCAGCAAGAGTCGAGTTTGGAAATCTGCCAGAATACTAAGCAAAGCACTGAGTGAGTCCCAAGAACTTGCTTGCCTGATGACTAAGTAAATTTTTCATGTCTGCTTTATTATTTATATATTTTCTATCCTAACACAGAAAGAGCTCTAGCTAGCTTCTTAGTGTCTAGTTTTCAGTCTATGCATTTTATATTTAGTTCAAGTTCCGAGTGTACTTTCTGCTGGTTAAATCTCAACCTAAACTTTTGGCAGTAACATATGCACCTGCTTTCTGTGTTACCCACTGTTGACAATATCCAAGTTAGAAACAGGAACATGAATGGTTCCGTTTCAGCAGGAAACTGCTGGACCCTATACTCTACCAACATGTTCCCATCTGGGTGATTCCAATACAGCAGTGGATGTGACTCTCTCAAGCTCAGTCTGGACCCAGTAATCAGAGATCAGTCAGTAGAGAAGACAGACAAGAAAATATGTCAATAAATTGTCAAATATTCTTGAACATGCATGTTCTGATTATATTTCTACATTAAACCACCCCCCCTTTTTTTAAATTGATACAGCTCAGAATGCCTATACTACATTTTTGGGCAGACCTACAGTGCTGCCTCACTTTACACCCCAAACAGGATGAAATCCCACCTTCTCATTATTCTTGGCCTTGTGATTCAGGAGTGGTTTTGACTCTGAGACACTCTAACCTCTACCTGTGGGTCTGTCACAGCACATTCCCTGCACAGGTGCTAGGCAAGGTGTTAAGTGACGGCCCTGTGTTTCTATAATGGCTGAGGTTTGCTTTCTCTTATCCCTTAGGCAACTGGCTAGCATCAGTCTGTTTTACTCTGTGAATTTGCTTGTTTTTGATGGAAATCTGCTTTTCTAATACATTTTGAACTTTAACATATTAAAATATTTTAGGGTCAAATTTACTCATCATTTTTTTTTCTTAATTGGTAAAGCCAAGAGTGATAGACAGTAACAATGAGGTAGAGAGAATAAGTATGAATCTATTTTATTTGAGTGTATTTTATAAATTCTTTCAAGATTGCACAATGCTATCTACAAGTGCTGGGTGTTTACAATGTACATTTGGGGATAGGAACAACAACAAAGCATTGTTCCTTCTTTAGGAGATCAGCATCCTGTGAAGACATCATATACACACACCCAACTAGAACACAAGGAGAAGAAATATAGTGCCATGGGTAACCCACAAGAGACTGTGAGTTATTGGTCTTGAGAAGTCTAGCTTGAAGTACAAGTTTCTATTCACATCAAAATATACTAGAATTTAATCATGGGTTTGAAGAATGTCATTTATTCAATTTATAAATTTATAACTTTTTAAATGTTAAAAACTTTTAGCACTTATCCTGGTTAATCATAATTAACATTTATTACACATACATTCTATGCCAGGTTTTGTTTTAACTGCTTTGTGCATATAAATAAATTTATTCTACACAACTTTCCAAAATGGTTCTTCCTATTGTTGGAGCCATATAATATTTGGGAAACCAAAGGTAGAGAGAGTATATATTGCAAACAGATTTCTAAGCAAATGGCAGGGCTGGATTTAAACCTAGCAATCTAAAGCCAGACTGTGCCATTATAGCATACAGGCATCCACTGGGTCACTGTGACACCCATCAGACATAGCTGTTAATGATCCCACTCTTGCTATGGACTATAGTCCTTTTTCAAGGATATTATGCTTATTTTCCCAGAACAAAGTATGGATCCTGATGACTTAATTTGTACCCATGGTATACCCATTAACATCAACGGAGGTCTAAAGACTTGACTTGTTCTCCAGGAAAGGATATATTCCTAGGACTTTAAGTCACAAGGTGTTGTCTGGAGAGACTAAAACATTGCCTCAAGAGCTATAAAGTCCAGCCATTTCCATTTCATTGGTTTCTGGTTGTGGTTCAGCTACTTTGATCAAATTTAAAGATTAGAGAAATATTATGGTTTAGATCTGCAATGTCCCCAAGAAAGTTCATTTGTGAAATCATGGTCCCCAAAATAGCAAGGTTCAGAGGTGGGAGGTTTTAGGACATGACTGGATATTAAGGGTCATAATAAGATTAATCATTTGATGTATTAATGATTTGAATATATTAACAGGTGGTAACTGAAGGTGAGTGGGGTGTGGCTGGAGGAGGTAGGTAACTAGTAGCATTGCCTTGGGAAGTATATCTTTCCCTGTTCCCTTTCTCTATTTTTCCTCCTTTCCCATTGCCATGCCCTTCCACCATGATGTTCTGCTTCACAATTGGTTGACCAACTGCATTGTTCTGGGCCTAGAACCATTCAGTTGCTCTACCATGTACTGAGACCTCTGAAATTATAAGCCAAAATAAATATTTTCTCTTTTAAGTTGTTCTTGTCAGATATTTTAGCTAGAGCAATGAAAAGCTGATTAATACAAGCAGAAAACAATTTGCAAATATTGGTCAAATATTTTTACTTGATAATTTTTCTTGAAAAATCCAAGGTTATAGAGGGGCTAGTATTTTGTTTTAATTATTGATCAGTCACATACCAAAAAGAAGCAAATACTTTCTGCAAAATTAATTTTCAAATTCCTTCTCAAAAGAACATGAAAACTCTCTAATTGAGAATATTGCTAAGCAGCAGGAAAAGAAGGAAAGGACTTTCTCTCATATTGACTCCACTTATCTACTGGGGACCCTGTTTTAGAGGTTTCACTTCAAGCATCTGTTCAACAATTTATTCGGCAAACATTTAGTGAACCCCTACAACGTGTGGTCCCTGCCATCTGCTTGGCTAGAGAAATAAATCGAATCTTATTTATAGTTTTAAAAAATATATGTGAAGAAATAAGACAGGAAAGTATAGTAAAATATGAGAAAGGTAATAGTAAAGCCCCAGGCATTGTGGGAACTTTAAATCTAGTATACAGCATTCTCCATTCACCTTCACCAGTCCCAATGACTCATGACCAAGGCCGACCCTAGACCTTGTCTTTCCAGCTACCATAGTTCCTCCAGTGTCTCAATTCTGTGAATTCTTTTCTGATCACATCTATATTTAAAATCCCTCTCTCTACTCAGCAATCAACTTTACTCCACAAAAATCAATTTTTCATTGTTCCTCTTCCCTTGAGGTCCTTCCTCCCCTCACTTCCAAGTTTTTAAGTCCATGGACATCAATGTAATAACTTCTTTGCATGCACTCTTAACCCTGAAATATGTTGACGCTGAATACAGGCTCCCTTTACCTTCTGCTATCTGACATGAATCAATTGCCTTGCTTCTTGCTATCTTACCTGAACCAACTGTGCTCTCAGGATAGCCAATTGCCAGCTCTTCTTCTAGGACCCTTTCCCTGTCCTCTATAGGTAGTGTTCCACCAAGACTCTAGGGCATCCCAATTACCCATTCTCTGCTGAACCACACTCAGCAATGTACAGATATGTTACTGTGCATTGTGTCTTTGAAGCATCCTTCTCTTGACCTCAATTTTCCATTCTGGTACCATCCCATTTACTTTCTCCCTTTTGCAGAAAAAATCCTGGGAAAATGTATTGTTACCAACTTTCTCCCCAATTTTCTCCTTCCCTTTTCTCTTTAATTGACTTGAGTAAGATTTTCACCCCTAGCACAGTACTGACATGGCTTTTCTGGAGGTTGCTAAAGACGTCTGCATGCTAGCCCCAAAGGTCATTTCTCAGTCTTCCTCATACTTGGCCTGCAACAGCACTGATGCACTGATCTTCTTCCTCCTCAGTGGGCCTAGTCCACTCTTTTTTCTTCCTCCTTCTTTCTTGCTTTCTCTTGCCTTTTGACTTGTTCCTCCTCATTTGTCCATCACTGTATCACTGTGTCCAGGCTCAGTCCACTGTCCTCTCTCCCTCCGCTCTACCTGCACATATGCCCTCATTGATCTTGTTACTACCACCAACCTGAGTTCCATAGTGTAGGCCAGAACTCTAAAGGGTAACATTAACCATATAACATCTCATTGATTCAAAACCCTGACATGTTCCTCTCTTGACTATTCATCTTCTCCAGGCCAAAATAAAGGCCAAAAAAAAAAAAAATTAACAACATGTCTCTTGACAAGTGTTCACTCTAAAGCTTCTGCGAGGGACGCCACTCTCTTGAGCTCACATTTTAATTAAGCTAGACATTATGGAAAACAAAGGGTGCTACAGGACACTAATAAGGAGCATGTTGGTTCTAAATCCAGTGTTTTCAGTTTTCCCTCCCTCTAATTGAGAACTACTGTCCTAGAACATGATCTCATTCTGATTGCTTTTGCAAAATTGGCTTTGTTGCCAGGTAACATGCTGTGCATTGATAACCATTAAGGTTGCCTGGTACCCAAATAAGATGAAGCCAATGTAGCATTGTTAGGTGCATGATTTAAACCGCCAATCACGATCACTGTAGAGTTTACTATAGCCCAGGGTAGACACAATATTTTAAATTAAAATAAGTGACCTGTGACTTTTAATATAAGAAATTTGGTTGTACTTAACCAATTTGTTATTTTGTAATATGTAGACCATACAATGTCTAGTCATTTCTTATTAAGTATCTACTCAAATTTAAGACAGGCTTCCATAGTAAAAAGTGAACATTTTTCCCTGTACATTCAAGAGTCCATTGTCATTTACACTATAACTATTCGTATTCACTTTCTGAAGACATCATAGGTATGAACGAGCCCACCGTACAGTAGAGAATGCCTTTCTCACGTGCCAAGAAGGTGAATTTTAAGAGGGGAAAAGGGCCAGACATGGTGGCACTCACCTGTAATTCCAGTGGCTCAGGAGGCTGAGGCAGGAGGAAAAGCCCTAAGCAATTTAGCAAGACCCTATTTCAAAATTTAAAAACATAAAAAGGGCTAGGGCTAGGGATGTGGCTCAGTGGTTAAGCACTGGTTAAGTGGTTAAGTTACAACTAGTGCAGCAAAGTATTTCTGGAGAAGCAGTTTGCCACCTTCCAGTGCTGTTCTATAGTCACTAACAAATCATCTTCATTTCCCAAACCACTGGAACTTACTAAGAAATGTCCATTTTGTAGTCAAGGGAACACCACCAGAAACGTGCTGGAGAATACCCTTTCCCTTACCTGGCACTTCTCCAGAGGCCCCCATCTCTCATGCTACAGCCGAGAAACCATCCCAAAGGAAAGGCAGCAGAATGCACCTGGCATCCGAGAGTCTTGGTATACTCACGTTGCCTGTATGAACTGCATGGCTCCGTTGCCCTGAGCTTCAGTTTCCTCATCTATAAACTGGAGACAGCCCTCTCTGCCTCCCAGGGAAGAGACACTGCTCTGAGACCACACATGTGGTCACTCTCAGTACAGGTCACCCCTTTAGCACTTCCTTCCAAAGACATGCTAAGGGATCCCACCAGCCTTCCCCTTCCTCAAATTTCTTCTGCTCACTTTTGCAAAGCTTATGTTCTCCTACCAACCCAATCCACCACCTTCTCTTCCCTGGATCTCTGTCATAGCTGCCTAAGAACCCCATCTTTCAGTCCATGTTCCACAATCCTCTTTGATCCAACCCAGGTTATTCTCCTCAGTTTGTGGTGGCCTATGACAGTGTGATTTACATTCTCGTGCCTGGTCTCAGATGTACTATCAGTGCTGCTTCCATCTGGTCTCCCCTGTGACTATGGCATCTGCTATAGTGTAGCAAGACCTACCTTCTAGATCTGAAGCCAAGCACAATCCCCTGCTCTTTAACACCTGTAAGTGCACTACACAGTTCTAACTCCTTGCTGTGACTAACAAGGTTCTTTACAACCAGTTCTCCTGCTTGCTTCTGTGTTATTTTTATTTTAGGATACCCCTGGGAACCCTTAGCTCCAGACACATAAAATTCCTCCAGCAGCTTATCCACACTTTCCGACATTTGCTCAGCTCTTCCCCACTTCAAAGATATAACAGATCAAATACAGTACCTTCCCTGGAAAGCCTTCCCTGATATTCCCTGTATTTGTGGGTGTCTTAATTCTATGGTTGAGAACCATTTGCTAAATGTCTTCCTCCCATAAACACAGGCATAGCTGATTTTTAATGTGTCTCTTTCTACACTCTTCACTTACAGAACTAGGTAAGGACAGGAGGAGTGAAGAGACTACTGTTTACTAACTTGTTGACTTGCTGCTGTAGCTCCTTCTGGGTCCACCCGGGTGCCTTTATGGAAGCAAAGAGTAGGAGATGTTCCCGGACGGTGAGATTGGCAAATAGGACGTCCTGCTGCGGACACACCCCCAGCTCCATCCTGACCCTGGACAAGTCTGTCTGCAGATTCTTTCCATTGATCATGATGGCCCCAGAAGTGGGAGGATAGAGCCCTGTCAACATGGATCTGCCAGAGAAAACAAATTAGCATGGATAAAAGTGATGCTGAGACTCTGAACATTGATGATCCAATCAACTCCCAGATGATACGTGCATTCTGTGAAGAACCAACAGTTTCTACATCCGCAGTTAAAGGTTCTAAGGAGGTTCAGGGGACATTGGTTGATTAATCTTGGAAATGTGAGCATATGATCATGTCTATACCCCCATATGGAGCACTGTGATCATAGAGCACTAAAGTTGTATCAGACTTTCAGATGAAAATCCAACTTTATTTGTATATAAAAGGAATCAAGCTAAAGAAATAACATATTTACCTAGGTCCTCGTAACTGAACATGAGCAAACAGAAATGTCAACCTAGATTTCCAATCTGTGGCCAGTCCTCCTCCTGCTTTCACCAGGCTATTTGCCCCTATCAAATCCACAAGAGTTGAGTGATCCATTACCCAATACTCACTTATCTGACTTCTCCAAGCTGAGGATTGCCTAGTTCTGCTTCCTCATTTCAACTGTTTATAAAATGTTAAGAATTCACCTATATTAGGACTATCAAATATAATCCTAAGTATTTATGCAAGAGAAATTAAAACATGGCCATATGAAGGTATGTACATGAATATTCATAGCAGCTTTGTTCACAGTCACTAAAAACTGGGAACAGCTCAATTGTCACCAACAGATGAAAACATGACCAAACTGTGGAGTCTCCATACAATGGAATACCACCCATCAATCATAAGACCAAGCTGCTGATAGACTGCAACCAGGCGTGAATGGGCTAAGCAAAAAAAAAAAAAAACAGGCACAATTCCATGTGTAACAGATTCTAGAATAATTTATGGGGACATAAGATAATGTCTGTGTTCCCATGTAATACACTGTGAACACAGATCATTCTTGCAGATGAAAATCCAACTTTACTTTTATAGAGGAAAAGTCAGTATCCTTAGAAGTTGGTTCCACAACTCCTCATGAATATTAAAACCCTCAGATGCTCAAATACCTTATATAAAATGGAGTCTGAGGTAGGAGGATCATAAGTTCAAATCCAGCCTTAGTAACTTAGTGAGGCCCAAAGTAATTTAACAAGAACCTGTCTCAACATAAAATAAAAAGGACTGGGGATGTGGCTCAGTGTTTAAGCACCTCTGGGTTAAATCCCTAGTTAACCCCTTACTCCACTCCCCCCAAAAAACACACAATGTAGTGTTTTGAAATAACCTATGCAACCCTCCCATATCATTTAAATCATCTCTAGATGGCTTTAATACTTATACAATGAATATGGTGTATAAAATAGTTATCATATTATATTGTTTAGGAAATAATGACAAAAAGTCTGTACCTATTCAGTACAGAGGCAATTTTTTTCTCAATTTTAAAAAAAAATTTTTAGTTGTAGATGGACACCATACCTTTATTTGTTTTTATTTTTATGTGTTGTTGGGGATTAATCCCAGTGCCTCACGCATGCTAGGCAAGCGCTCTACCTCTGAGCCATAACCCCCACCCTCTCAAATATTTTTGACCTGCTATTGATTGAATCTGAGGGTGAGGAGCCCATGGACATGGGGAACCAACTATACATATTCTGTAGGAGTCTCCAAGAGGTTTGTTTTTAATGGTGAAGACTGAGCTCATTAGTGGGCCTCTTGGATTCTCATTAAGCCCTGCTGTAAAGACAGAAGCACTGCACAGGACTGAACATGCACTTCTCAGGTTCACTAGCTGCAGCCTAGTCAGCAAGCCTTGAATCTTCAGGGAACTCCAAATTTAATTCTCATCATTCTGTTAAACAAGCACACCAAGCTTTCCTGGGCAGAACTGTACATTAGTAAAAGCAAGATGTAGAATGCTAGCTTTGGGAATTATCTGTATAACTTGTGCTTCCCCAATTTGCAAACACTAAAAGAAGTCTCAGAGAGTTTTTTGATTCTATTCCAATTTTTTTTTCCCATGAGATTTCTTCCCCTCCACCCTCTCTGGGGATTGAACCCAAGGTTGCTTAGCCACTAAACCACTAAGCCACATTCATGGCCCTTTCTATTTTTTATTTTGAGAAAGGGTCTCACTAAGTTGTTTAGGGCCTCAATAAGTTGCTGAGGCTGGTTTTGAACTTGTGGTCCTCCTGCCTTGGCCTCCTGAGTCCCTGGGATTGTAGGCAGTGACCAGCCCATATATAGATTCTGAAGCCTTGTATATATAAATTTTCTGCCTTTCATAATAAGCTTGAGGCAAATCCTTTGCATTATCTTCATACTTTAGTCCTATACATTTAGTGACAAAAGGGATATGATTTGTTTTTAAGAGAAATCCGATAATTTCAGTGGGATAACCTTTAGCATACCACCTGTTCTACCGCCAGCTCAGAACTATGACTATTTGAATTTATTGCTTGTCCAGGGTCACATAATTCGATTCTTTAATCGAATCTAGACTCCTGGACCCTAAGCCAAAAACTAAATCTCAATAAAAAAGCAAACAAGAAGCAGAATATGGAAAAAAATAATTAAAATGATTAAACATTTGCAAATATAGTTCTGCTATTGAAAAAAGCGAAATTATCTTGCCCTCTACAAAAAGAAAAAAAAAGAAAGTATCAAAGGATTTTCCAAAACTAAAGTAAAATATAATAAATTATTTGTAGGAAATACAAGAAGAAATATTTTTTAAAAAATCCATCCACTGGAAATGGAGAAAATCTTACTGAGTGAAATAAACCAGATGTAGACTATCAAGGGTTGAGCGTTTTCTCTCACAGGTGGAAGCCAGAACAAAATAATGGAAAGAAGGAAGCTGGGGAGCAGGAAGCACAAAGATTATCGGGAAGATCAGTGAAGTACGAGGAAAATTAGAAGGAGGGAAGAAGGAAGGGAAAGAAATATGAAAACGATTCTGACAGACTCACATTTATATATATATATATATGTGTGTGTGTGTGTGTGTATATATATATATTTTTTTTCACTTTTGTGTACATATGTAAAGTACCAGTCAAAAATAAATAAAGGAGTGAAAGGAAGATCAGTAGAGGAAGGAGAAAAAGGGGAGGGAAAAGGAAAGGAAAGAGGAGACGAAATGGGGATCAAAATCAAATTCTTTGTGCACATAATTTTGTTAAAAAGAATCCAAACACTATGTATAATTATAATGATCTGATAAAAACATTAACAGATTGACTTGGTTTAAAAAAAAAAAAAAAACTCCATGCATCCCATCCTTCCTCAGAAGCTACTCGAGGTCTAAAATGTAATTGGGTAGTTGTGTGACATAGAGCTGCTCTGGGGACAAGGCTCTGACTCTCTCCTGTGTCACTGAACTCTGAACTGGACTAAAAAAATACAAAGAAAAAAAAAGAAAAAAAAGGAGTAAAAGAAATCAGACCTTCGGTGTCATGGGTAAACTGGAAACAAAGGAAAGCAAATTGGGACGCACATGATGGTGGTTTTCCTGGCACCGTTGGTCCCCAGCAGTGCGGTGATTTGGCCTCTGTGAAAGGTGAGGGTGAGGTCTTGGACAGCCACCTTGTGGCCCTCATGCTCCTTAGTCACAGACAGCAGAGTGACTCCTGGGGCGTCTCCTTCAAGCTCTCCTCTGCTTTGCGGCAATGACTCTGTGAGAAAGATGCAAATTCTTTCTGAAATGATTTCAAAAGCACCCCCCAAAAAACATTTACACTTATTGTTGCATTGTTTTCTTTAGAATTGAATTCTAATTCTGTGACATGCAAAGCAGTTCAAAAATCCTTATTCAAAGCAAAAAGAAAGTTACTTGATGGCAGAAATTAAGTGAAATCACAGATGACAGTTTTGAACCCTTATGAGAAATAATTTGTAGACAATACAAAAATAAAGACACACGCATGGATTTCTTGATGTAGAGAAAAGAACAAGGCAGGTGAGTTACACACCAAAAGGTCCATAAGAAATATTCTGCTTGATGAGAGTTGATAGGTATTGGTTAATCTATTCCAAATTTTCTAAAAGATTCATGTTTTACTGGTTTAGTCAGAAAAAAAATTACTCCCAATATTAACTCATAGCATACAAACACCATGATGGTGTGGGAGACCTACCTTGCATGTGACTGAGTCACACTCCCTGGCTGGGTGCTGAGGCACTCAGTCACAGAAATGTGGCAGAGCTCTCCTCACCCTTCTTGGGTTTGAGGGACGGTGCCTCATGCATGGGTGTATCTTGCTACTGCCCCATGGATTTAGCTACACTCACCTGTTCCTTTGTAATATTACCCCTTGCCCTGTTTAGGATAGAATCTTCCATGGAAGTGCCTTGTGTGTGTCCCCTTCTCTTACTGTGCCCTTGTGTGTGGCCTATCCAGATGTCAGTCAACCTGCTGACAGTGGACATCATGAAGATAGACTCAGCCCCCTGAAACCTGCCCCTTGCCTCATTTGAATAGCTTCTCCTCAATAAAAGGGGTCAGCGTGTGTTCTCTCTCTCTCTCTTTTCCTGCAGACCTTTAAGGTCAGAGGAGCCATCATAGCAACCCCATTGAAAAAGGTATTTGTGTCTCTTGTGTGGTTTTATGTGCAGCCCAGTCAGCCCAGTTTACCTGGAGTGACCTCTGAGCCTTTTGGTCGTGAGAACAGAAACCCAGCATGATGGGAACTTGCAACTCCATGGGTGGTGCACCCATCTGAGTGGTCCTTTTGTAGAAGTATCCATGTGTCTGGCCACAGGAATGGGCTGTGACTAGAATACAGCGATATGAGAACAGTCCTTCCCTCATCTCCTTAGAGCAGTTTACCCTAAGAGGATTATCCATTGGTAAGTGGCATTGATATTCTCTCACAGAAACATGGAACAAGCTGGAATGTGTGAAATCACTTTGACATGTTTAAGTGTACCACACCTGGCAACTGCTTTGCTTTGCTTTTATTTTTTTTTTCAATGTCCTTCATTTTTGGACAGATGCTTCAGTTTTGCCAAATTATTAGAGATGCACAAATACAAATGAAACATAGAATACAGAGAGGGGCGCAGAGGAGCCAATCAGCTAGATGTTGCTGGGGCCGCTGTGAGCCAATCATCAGCCGGCAGCTGAGTGCTCGGAATAATAAGTAATGTGAATATTCTGGGGTTCCTGGCCTCATGCGGACAAGATATGACCAGGAGACAGTGTCTTGCACTTTAGTCCTGCAGCTGTTTCTGAACCCAAGACAGTCTGAAAGTGAGTTTCTAAGAATCAGTTCTAAGTTCTAAAGGCTCACCCAAAAGTGAATTTCAAAAATCAAAATTGACCAGAATACAAATGCATCTAGTGTTGCTACTCCTTCCATACCTGGATTGTCAAAGTTCCCATTGAAGAAGAACAAACTAGAACTTAGAGAGCGTCGCTGTTTCTCCACCCAGCCACATATACTCTTCCAATATGATGCAGTGAAGGGGAAATACCATGGTTTCCTTGAACCAAAAGTTCCTAAAAATTGAATTAACATGAACATAATTATTTTCTATGTAAATGAAGACTCCATAATAGAATACGTTTGCATATTTTCAATATGCATCCCACGCATAAACCAGTGATATCCTGAATCAGTGTATTAGCTTTGAAGGAAGCCCTAAATCTCCTAAGGTCCAAGTCAGGGCCATCTGCTAGGACCCACTCACATCCAGTCCCACTAGGAGACTTTGAGAAGTGCTCAATAAACCTTTTTTTGAATAATTGTTGATTCTTCCCCAGAGTAAAGTCTCATCCCTGTCCCCACATTGCCACTTTATTTCCTTATTGCTCATCTCATGTCGATCTTTGATGTTTGCATGGATTACTGGATAAGAGGAGGAGCATAAAGTAAGTAACTGAAAGAATAAATCAATTAAAACTCCCACAAAGAGGAATAATTCATAATGCTAACATTTCCATATGAAATGTATCAACATTCTTCAAACGTATTCTTCAAATTCATTTCAGTCCATTTAACAGCCACTTTGCCCTCATTAGAAGTTGAAATGAAAGGGGATTTAATTATTAACACTTTTCAATTTTCTTTAATGCATCTATTCTAGCTTAAGTGTGATGAGTGCAACTAACCTAAAGGCCTAAATTCTACAAGTGATTGGAATACAAAAGGTTTATGTGAAGACTAGTTTTGCACTTTGACCACCAAGCAAAAGAGAAATATGCAAGTGTTTACATAGTCTAATCAGATTATTCAAAAAGGTGGTCATATACTCCAAGGGGAATGATGGACCTATCATCTTTGGAAAAGGAAGGGAGTGTGTAGTGTTGTTATTGGGTCTAGTATTGACCATTAGCTGTGGGCTGACTTGTGTCCCCCAAAATCCACCATTGAAGCGCTAACCCTCAGGAGTTCAGAATGTGACTGCATTTGGAAAGATGATCTTTAAAGAAGTAATGAAGGCAAAAGGTGAGTCCTAATCCAAGGAGACTGGTGCTTTATGTGAAGAGGAAATTGGAGATTGAGGACACAGGAAGAAGACAGCCATTTACAAGCCAAGGAGAGAGAAATCAACCCTGCTAACACATTTGTCTTCCAGTCTCCAGAACTATGAGATGATAAATGGTTGTTATTTAAGGCACCCAGTCTGTGGTATTTTGTTATAGTTGACTGAGCAAACTATTGCAGGCTGGGTTCTCAAAGAACCTAACAAACTAAGCATCATCCCTAGGTAGAAAGAGGATGAGTCCATCTGGGTAAGTAGTTCACATCATATAGCATTCCTCTGGCTCTCTCTGCTTTAAGTGCTGTCCAGAGTCTTTATCTGGATTAATTTACATGGTTCTGCAACCACAGATATAACATTACCACTTCTGTCTTCCTATCAGAAAGGAAGAGACAGCAAGGCTTGTCCAAGGACACATAGTTGATGCTCTTAGAAGCCACACACTGGCTGGTCTCCCTTTTCATGCCTATCTGAGCACACAGGTGCAAGGCAAGCAGATATTCACATGTTCCTTCAAACAAGTTGCCCTTGCCTAAAACAAGCAAACTGACTCACCCTAGTCCTAGGACTCCAGTTTTTTTTTTAACTGCCAATTGCAGTATAAGCCCTTGTTCACACACATGTGAACAATTCACATGTGGAAGTAAAAGGAGATAATAAATAAGCAAACAAGTACATCAGGAAAATTTTTGTGCAAATGTTGGCTGCTGTCTTGGCCCTCCCACTTGTTCATGAAGCAGCCCCTTTCCTGCTAAGGGGTAACCTAGGTGAGTGTGCAAGTCACTGTCATGGACAGTGTGGGTGGGCATCACCTTCACAGTAGCAAATCCATAATAAGACTCAAACACTTTGGAATTGAGTTAGCAATCAAAATCCTCTGAATCTAGAAGACAAAATGATTAAAAAAATGGGTACCTACATCTGAGTGCAAACATTTATAGTTTGTAGTTTCATTTATAATGGGAAAAAGGCAGAAATTATTTAAACTTGCAAAGAGGAAGGTGCACAAAATTATTTCTTTCATTTGATGACATATTGAACAGCCATTAACAATATTTTTAAAGATGTGGATAAATGCTTCTAATGATACTATCTTTTTAAAAAGAGAGAAACATATATACAATATGAACCCAGCTATGTGCAGAAAAGTATCTGAAAAAGAATAGAAAAGATATTATTAGCTCTGTTCAGTGAGATTGGAGATAATTGATTTTTTTCTCTCCGCTTATTCATAAATGCAAGTACTTTTAAAACATTTCATAATAAGCATAGATCCATCTGAAATATTACAATGCAAGTTTTTAGAATCAACAGTTTTTAGAACAGTACCTCTGGCAACTGCTTTGCTTTGTACCTCTATGCAGATTCTAGAGGGGCAACTAGGTGCAATTTGCCTTTCCAAAGGAAGCAATCGAATATCTTCACGTTTGTTGTGCCACAAAAACAAGACCTCAGCTCTGCTCTACTTTAAGTGGAAGTTATGCAAAGACATTTTATGTTTCTCAATCTTTGGGCCATTACTGAAAGAGATTATCACCATACATGTGGGCACACAAATGCACATTCATATGTACACACATGAACGTACACAAGCACAACTACAATAATTTCAGGAGTCATGACACTCCTTTAATGGAACAAAAATGCTGTTTTTTAATTGATGATGACCTCATTTACTCATTTGAGTTCTGGGAAATCACACCACCCTCCAGCCCTACTCATGGTGGGGATGTTTGCTGACAATAGATAATGAGTACTCTGAATGATGGCAGAAAAAGAGGAGCTTGTTTTTCTCCCAGGACCCACAGTTCCAGCCCAAGAATGAACAGAGCTCCTAAGGCTGCAGTATCATGGCAATAAATCTCAGGAGATCACCTGAATTTGGAACATCCGACGCCTTGTCTTGCTGTTCTCCAGTTTGCTTCTTTCTGTTCCAGAGAGATGTCACCTACTATACAGAATCAATTAATCATTCTCTGGTGGTATAAGGGTCAAGCTAAAGAATCAGGCACAGAACTCACCTTCTTATGACTTTCATTCTAGTGAAGATGACCAAACAATGTTATTGAGAGGAAATCAAGGTGATAAGTATTACAATTGCAGAATTTCCATCAACACTAGCCTGCTTCCATGGAACCAGGCTCTTTGAGCGGAGGACAAGACTTGAGAAAGAAGAGGCAGACAGGCAGTGTGGTGGTGCACACCTGTAATCCCAGTAGCTTGGGAAGCTGAGGCAGGAGGATCTCGAGTTCAAAGCCAGTCTCAGCAAAAGCAAGGCACTAAGCAACTCAGTGAGACCCTGTCTCCAAATAAAATATAAAATAAGCTGCGATGTGGATCAGTGGTCGAGTGCCCCTGAGTTTGATCCCTGGTACCAAACAACAACAAAAAAAAAAAAAGAAGAAGAAGAAGAAGAAGAAGAGGAGGCAGAGAGGAATAGAGAAGGATTGCTAGATTTATTAAATACAGGATGCCAGATTGAGTTTGAATTTCAGACAAACATCAAATAACATCTAACTATAAGTATGTCCCCAAAATTATTTGTAGTTTTTCTGAAATTTGAATTTATTTTCTTTGGTCATCCTATGTGGTGATACCAGGCACATTGCTCCCCCCATCAGTGTGACTAGAACAGAAAGAGAAGCATGAATGAACAAACACCAGGGGAAGTAAGGATAGACTAGGAGCCACCAAGCACACAAACCTTTATTCTGTAGGCATTTTGGAGTTAGGGAAGTTTATCAAGACAGGGGAGAGTTGGATCCACACAGTCAATATTTAAAAATTGTGACTACATGTCCACATGGATGGTAGACTGTGGACAATGGGTGGGACCTAGAGATATGGGAAGGAGTTGTAAAGGTAAAAACTGGTCTAGAGCAAGGGCAATGAGTCCTGAACTAGGTTGATAGCTTCAAGGACAGAAAGGAGAGGCAAAATATAAGAGGCATTTCAGAGTTAGATAAAAAGAAATTAAAGATAAATTAAATATTAAAGGTTGACTTGCTTAATTAAGCCATCTCAGTACTAATGTGTCTGGACTTTTAAACTCTTCTCAATTAATCCATTAATCTAACTGAAGCAAGGAGTTGCCAAATCCATGTGAGTGTGGAGGTTCCTCAGCTCTTGCCTGCCTTTTGCTTTTGCTTATAAATCCAAATTTGTTTTACGTGCAAATCCAGATGCACATGCCTCCTGCTCACATTACCAAATGTAATTGGGCACATTAATATGTACATAGGCCCTCAGTGCATACTGAGCTTTTCTCCTCAAGGGGAACTGCCTGCTGGCTTGTGGAGACCAGGAAACTAATTAGCATCATTCCCCCACAAAAAAAAAAAAAACCTGACAGTGATAAAAGGAGAAGTCAATGAGATTAGACAGATCGAGCCGAATCAGATTTAATTGGAAGCACATAAAGAAGAGTTTATGAAACGAAAACTCTCAGAGAGGACCAGCTGTTTGCTCATGAGCTCGAACAGAGCAAGGAGACCTGCCATTGACACTGAGTCCTGCAGCCTTTGGAATTAGATGGTGCCCCATCTACATGGGATTGAGAAACTTCAGGGTCAGGCCTGTGCAACTGCTTTGTAAGGAAGAAAGAAAGAAGACAATGGAGAGAAAGCATTTGGGTGGAGTTTGGTGTGTGTGTTTATGGTGTGGGGAGAGAGGAGAGTCAGTTCTCACTCTCCCATCGGGGATAGACCCTCATACTTAACAGACTTTCAGAGAGCCCTGATTTGATGATACTTTCACAGGTATTTTAGAAATGTGGGAAGGAGCACTTTTGGTGGGCACCTCAAATGGGTGTTTTTAAATGTAGGTTTTTATAATTATTAGATACAGAAGCCAGTAGATCAGAAGATGAGAGCTGCCATTGAGAAGAAAATCTATTACTCCTAGTTCTCAATAGGAACAAACAAACATAGGATAGCACCAAACAGAGGGAAGAGGAAATGTGAACAGGAGCCTAAACAATGGTTTCTAAGAGAAGGAACAGGTGAGTAGTAGGGT